AGCTGTAGCAACCCTCCCCCAACGTTCACTCTCATAGGATCACTTGGAGACCAGACCTATGAGCCTGGCTTCATGTATCCTTGGAGAGGCACACACATGTGTAGTCATATCCAAGCACACACATACTCAGTCCCCTCCTACCTGAAGATGGGACCCAAGAAGAACCTATATTTTCACTAAAAGGCTTCTCCTCACCTTCATCTCCCCCACTCATTTCCCCAGGGGCTGCGAGTGAAAACTCGAACCAGTGAAAGGTGGACATGGTGATATGATGGAGAGATGGAAGAGGCATAAAGGTGGGCAATGGACAGAGTCTGGCTGTTTAGACAAATGGACAGGAGGAGGGATTGCTGGCAGAATCACTTCTCTTAACTCCTCTCAGTCTTGGCAACCTCCTCTATCAAGTATGGGTGAGGATATCAGACCTCCCCCTCCCTAACTTTAAATGTTTTGTAGGTATTAGTGAGATGCTGCACAAGAAGCCACCTTGATCTTCCTATCATGTCTTTATTCTCTCTCCTCCCCTCTCTCCTGCTCTCCCTATCTTCTCCAAACCCTGAGAGGGTCTCAATCAGAGCTCACAACTACAGGCAGCCTAGTGTAGGGTCTTGACAAGGTCTGGGGGTAGCTGGCAGAGGCAGGCAAAGTCAGAGTTGGAGCAGGCCCAAGGTGGATGCCCACCTGCCCTCAGCAGGTATAGGACCTCCTTGACCCAGGTCAGCCATGACCCAAAGAGGCTATAACTGCAGGTCAGCTGGGGGAAAGGGCTACCACTGCACTTCATGTTCTTAGCCTCTAGGGCCCAGAGCGTGGGCTCCAGAGTGTCTTGGACCTGCCACAGCAACCAGGACCTTTCTTTACCCTAGCCCAGTCCCCACAGCTGTCTCACTGAAGAGACATTTTGTGATTGGAAACCACTTTCCCAGATATCAGCTCACTTACTCCTACCAACACATGGGGACAGGGGGATTATCATCCCTATTTTATAGGTGGGGATACTGAGGTCACAGAAGCTAAATGATTAGTCAGTAGTACAGGTGGCAATTGCAAAATGCTTTTTTGTTTTATTTTATTTTTGTTTTATCTGTTTGAGATCAGGTCATGCTGTTTCCCAGAATGGTCTTGAATACATGAGCTTAAGCGATCTTCCCGTCTCAGCCTCCCAGGTAGCTGGAACTAGTCAAGTACCACTGTGCTAGGCTGCACAGTGCTTTTACTTTTCTTATCACAAGCTCTCAACAGATAGGTATCACTTCTGTTTGGTGCCTGTTTTACAGGTATAGAAATGGAGGCTAGGACAAATGTGGGGACCTGGTAAGTGTCCAACAAGCCCTCCACTGGCCCTTTTTGAGGGAAGTGAATGGGAGATGGGCCCTTGAGGTACCCTGAGACACCATGGTGCCCCTCATCCATACTCCTTCCTATCTTGGGTGTTTGTTGGATGGCTCCTCTGTGCCAGAAAGGGGCGGAATTCTACACTGGAATAGGAGAGACACTTAGGAAGCAGAGGCCACCGCTGACCCCAGGCTCTGCTCAAGCCTGACTTCTCTATGAAGCTTACCCTGATCGTGCTCAGGGGGGAAACCAGGACAGGCTTCAAAGAGGAATTGTACTTAAGCAAAGTCTTAAAGAAGAGACAAGGAGGAAAGGAATTCCAAACAGTGTGTGGAGGGCTTAAAAGCTCATTTTGGGAAACTTTATAAATGTTTGGCCTAATTGGAGTAAAGGGGGTAGGATGCATGTTGAGAGAGGTCCTTCTTTGCATGTGACAGATGGATTCAGACTTGAACCTGAGGCACTAGGGAGCCACTGAAGGTTTTTGAGCTGAGAAATGATGTGACCAGAGTGGCATTTTGAAATAATCTCTGGCCATAGAGGTGAGTATTATGGAGGGGCATGGTTATATTATAGTCTAAGAGCCCAGGAAGGTTAAATGAAGTAATCCTGAGATAAAAAGAGCCAAACTGAGCCAGTGGCAAATAGGAATAGGAAGAGGTAGCAGATGAGAGAAAGAACCACCAGGAGCCTGGCCACTCAGTTAGAGTTGAAGGAAGAGAGGGTGTCTGGATCATTCCTGGTTCTGGCCTGGTCATCTGAGTGAATGCAGAGCCACTAGGGGGAGATGTAGCAAACAGAGACAGTTGGAGGTGAAATGGGGTGGCGCATGGACTTGGAGTTCAGGAGAGAGGCTGGGGCTGGAGGCCATGCTGACTCCACAGTCTATGGAGAGTATGAAGGCCACTTATCCACATGAGGCTCCCCAGGCACCATCTCATTAAGAGTGAGAAAATCAGTGATTCAGGAGCAAAGATCTGGGCATTAAAGTGAGCAAAAGAGGAGCCAGTCAAGAGGCAGAGGTAGGAAGAACCTATAGATGGCTTTGCCTCCTAAACCAGGATACCAGAGGCTTCAAGAGTGAGAGGTGATCAGCAGTGCATGTGCCACATTGGGTCAAAGGGGAGGAAGGCAGAAGAGGTTGCACAGTGGCCTGACCATGGCAATTTCAGTACAGGATGGGGGTTAGTGTAGTGTGCAAGTGACCCAGGGACATTACAGGTAAGAAGCTAGGGGAGACAAAGGAGTGAAAGCCATAGTTGAGAATGACCAAGAGCAGGCCCCAGTCACTTAAAGGGAGCCAAGACACAAGGAGCCTCTGACGTGGATAAAAAAGAAGGGCACTCATGGGGACCCAGGGCAGCTGTTGGTGAGCCCATGACTGGGAGAGAATGGAAGAAGTTGGCTTGATAGCCTGGCTTTCTAGGTAGGATGGGAGGAACAGGTTGGCACTCTGCTGCAAGACAGCCAGAGTGAGCTAGTATTTGAAGAGTCAGGGAGGTTTGAAGAATGGAAAGGAGAGTCACCTAGGGATGGTGGAAGGATTGCTGAGCATAGCTGCAGCCCCTGCTGAGGTCAGACAGATGGTGGGAGCAATTGGCATGGCTGGCCAGTCTCTCCAGCAGTGCCCAGAAACAAACATGGGGGCAGAGAAGTGTGGAGTGAAGTGAGGATGGAGCCATGCAGCTGGGGTGGGGTGGGGTGGAGAGAACAGGGAGCTGCAAGTAGGGCCCTGGCAAGAACCTGCTCAGGGTGAGATGCCAAGGAGTCGTCCAGCAAGGATAGCTGGAAGAACAGAAGAGGATGGGTGAGGAATTTTACTGGGACTGAAGGAAGAGAGGAGGAAGGTGGAGCTTGTGGACCAGAGTTGGGATGTTTTCCTTGTTATCAGAAGACCTCAGTTCCTGAAAGGACAGGTCTAAAGCTGTAGGAACAACATGCTGAAATGAAACAGACATCAAAGTCATCTGCCTCCAGGAGGCCAAGAAATTTTCATTCACTCACTAATTCAACAAATATTTATCGAGGACCTACTATTGCCAATTTCTGCAAGACACTTATACATAGGGATGAAAAAACTTGGCTCCTGCCCCCTAAATCTCACCACATGGTTGGAAGTGTGTGTGTGTGGTGGGGGGGACAATGTTAACACCACAACACCCTGTGTATATGAAAATGTCTAGGCATGGTGGGAACACACAGAGGGTCCTCACCCAGAAGAGGAGCAAGTGACATGGAAGCTGAGCCTTAGGGATAGTTAGGAGTCACCCAAGCAAAGAGAGTGGCAAGAGCTAAGATGAAGCAAGAGCATCTTGCCAGCAGCGACAGCAGGTGTTCTTCTGGTGGGACCAGAGGAGAGGGTCAAGGGGAGGCAGGAGGAGCAGGATCCCAGAGGACCTCGTCAGCTAGGCACAGAGCTTCTAGAGGGATGGGAGGCTTTGCAGGGATTTCAGCAGGGGAGCAGCAGGATCAAATTTGCATTTTGGAAAGATCACTAGGGCTGCAGTGTGGATAATTGATTGGAGCAGAGCAAAGGAGCAGAAGACTGACTAAAGGCTGAAGCAAGGCAAGAAGAGGGCACAGCCATTGTAGGATTCAAAATCAGGACTTTATTCTTTCAGTGGACAGGGAAAGGAGGGAGGGCCAAGGATGCTTCCCAGTTGTCACCAACTGAGCTGGAGAAAAAGGGGAGTGCATGGAGGGGGGATGGTGAGGAACTGATTTTGAGACAAAAATCAGAGGACAACCAGGTGACCTCTGTGGGCAGGTGGATATGGTCAGGGTCAAGGTCAAAGCAGGTATGGGTATTCTTTCAACAGTTCTTCAGATTCTTCTTAGAGCGGAATACCTTTGTTTATTTTGATATGCTGCTGTGGGTGAAAGGGGAGAGGCTAGGTATGTGTGACCTTAGGGCCACTATAGCCACAAAAGGTTATCCTGCTCCGTATGAGAGAAGAGAGGAATGTTTTGAGTCTTGAGAGGGAGGCAAGCAGGGGGAAGGCAGAGAGCAGCAGAAGTGTGTGAAGGGCCAGTGGAAATTCCCACTGGTGGACAGCAGAGGTGCCCACTGCTGCATGTGGTGATTGGTGCAGCTTGAGTAGCTATGGATAAACCCCTCCTTCATCATCCCCTTCTGTGCCTCCTGGCCCACACCCTTAGGAAAGTTGACTCTACTGACATCTGCATTCTGTGAATGAAGTTTTAAGTGGGAATGGAGGAAAGAGCTCAATTTCACAACTGGGTTTGTGGTGGGGTGCAGAACAGGCTCAACCCATTTGGAGGCAGAGAGGACAGGAGAGCAAAAGCTACTATAAATGTATAAGAATCTCTGAAGCAGGCCTTGGACTTGGGATCTGAGTGATCTTGCTCTGTCTAAACGGGCACTGGGAACCTAACCACAGTTGCCCCTGTGCCCATAGCCCTTAGGCGAGACCTCTGTGGCAGCACAAGTCAGGTGGGTCCTGGGGTGAAAAACCTCCTAGGAAGTTCCAGCTCAGCACCCTGGGACTCCTCCTTATCTGCCTGCCCCCTCCTCTCAGGTGAGCTCAGAGTGGAGCAGGCACGTGAGCACCACCCCTCATTCCACCCTGGCACTTTCCACACACCCAGCCTGCACCTCCACCTGCAGGCTCCCTGCCAGTCTGACCAGCTCAGTCCTTGGGACAGCAGCGTGGTGGAGGAGTGCAGTGGGGTGCTGAAGTCTCAGAGAGTGAGACAGCTAGAGTCACACAGAGACAAGAGACCAGGGGAGACAGAAGAGAACAGAGACAAGAGGAATAGAAGAGAAGCCCCTCGAGAAAAAGAGGTGACACCAAGGCACAAGACATCAGAGCATGGAACCAGGGGTGTGCAACAGGGCTAACATGCTGGTGTGTAGGCTTTGGAAGGCTGTTAGTCGAGCACTGTTTGCTGAGTTCCTGGCCACCGGGCTGTATGTATTCTTTGGCGTGGGCTCGGTCCTGCAATGGCCCTCTGCACTTCCCTCGGTGCTGCAAATTGCCATCACCTTCAACCTGGCCACAGCCACAGCTGTGCAGGTCACCTGGAAGGCCAGTGGAGCCCATGCTAACCCTGCTGTGACACTGGCCTTCCTTGTGGGCTCCCACATTTCTCTGCCCCGGGCTGTGGCCTATGTAGCTGCCCAGCTGGCAGGGGCTACTGTGGGGGCTGCTCTGCTGTATGGGGTCACTCCAGGGGACATCCGAGGGACCCTTGGAATCAACATGGTAGGTGCAAGGAGGGGCTTGGGCAGAGGGTACCCACAGAGCCAGAAGGAGAGAGTTGAAACAGTTGGTAAAAGTGAAGGGCTAGACCCAAACAGAAGGAAGGGAGAAGGAAACAATTAGGCCATGTGCTCACACCTGCTCTGAGCTGGGCCCTGGGACCCAGAGAAATCAGACTTTGGTCTTCATCTAGGCAAAATGGGATTGTGGTATGAGGAACAGAAGGAGAAGGGAGAAGCCACACAAAGGGGGACCAGACGTCTAAGGGTAGATGTAGCCAAGGGAGAACTGAGGCTGTGGGTAGAACAAGCAGCCCCTGTACACGTTCTTTTTCCTCCTTAAGCTCCACCCTGTGTCTTTTGCTCTTCCATTTTCCCCAAGTTCCTCCCTGTCCAACACCCTGAAGCCTGCCTCACTTCCCACACCCCATTCTCCCAATCACTTTTGTTCCACCTGCTTCCTCAAATTCTCCTTCTACTCCTACCCACTGGTCTACTCCCATTCTGCTCTACAACATGCATCCCCAGCATCTCAAGCCTTCCCTTTCCTCCCAGTCCTGAATGCCTGTGCTCCCTCCTAAACCATTGGCCCCAACCAACTGGTGGGGTGCGAGAGATGCCACTCACCTCTGCATGAAGCAAGTATCCAGGGATTCTATGATCCCACTGCACAGATCTCCTTAGCTCCTAGAGCTGGGTGCGTGAGGTGTCACCCCCTACAACTGAGGAGGAGACAAGCCCAGAGGGGTTCACTGTCCTGTGGGCAGAGCCCAGGTGCACTCAGTGTAATCCCCTCTGCCAAGGTCCATAACAGCTCCTCAACTGGCCAAGCGGTGACAGTGGAGGTGATTCTGACCCTGCAGCTGGTGCTCTGTATCTTTGCTTCCATGGACAACCGTCAGGCGTTGGGCTCCCCGGCTGCCATGATTGGGACCTCTGTGGCATTGGGCCACCTCATTGGGGTAAGGGACAAAGAGGATATCATATGCATGCACACATTGAGTCCTTCTTTGGGGAAGTTACAGGGCCCTGAAGGCCAGGAAGTCTCTCCCCTGGAGCCTTCATGTCTTGGAACCAAGGCAATGTCTGGTATTACAAGTTGATGATATAGCCCAGAAAAATTAGGCTGGGGGTGGGGTCTCTGAGCCAGGGCAGAGGGAACTGTCCTTTCCCAAGCTGCCTCAAGCCCCCTCACACCCTGACTGAGCACTTGCTGCTCCCCAGGTCTACTTCACTGGCTGCTCCATGAACCCAGCCCGTTCATTTGGTCCTGCTGTCATCATTGGGAAGTTCACAGTCCACTGGGTGAGACCTTCTGCTGGGACCCATGGGGAAGGGAGAGAAGGCCTGAGCAGAGGCCATAGAGATGATAGGACCCCAGAGTGAGATAAGGGCCCCCCATCAGGTCATTTAGAGTAGGTGTGAAGGTTTCCCTAAACTTGGAAGGCCAGGGTGAGTATTTGGTTTGTACTTCGTCTCTTTCCAGATCCAACAGCCTGAAGCACCTAGTGAACTAGCGAGAAATGGACCAGAGCAGGAGCTGCAGTCTTGGCCCATGCTTTATGTTCTGACTGTTTCCTTCTTTACTTTCTCCAGCTGGACCAATTTTCAAACTTGAATAAAGAAAAAGACAAACAGAAATAGACACACCAGCAGAGACAGAAACAGCAATAGCCAGAACTTGGCTAAAACGGGGGAGTGAGAGGAAAGAGGCAGGAGTGGATGAGGAGATTGGTCACCACCCCTAACCATGGCTGCATAGCCTGGGCCTGTCTCCTTGAAAGCAAGATTCCTTCAACTCATGGGCTCAGGAGGCAGGATTTGTGGTTCTCAATTTACTCTCGTAGGCAGAGTTCTGGTAGGCCAAATCAGCACTAGAAAAGTAGGCGAGGTCTGAAAGCTACCCTATGATCCTGATAGCTCACAGATGGGTACGCACTTTTGTCTCCTCAGATCTTCTGGGTGGGACCCCTGACAGGGGCTGTTCTGGCTTCACTGATCTACAACTTTATCCTGTTCCCTGACACCAAGACCCTGGCTGAGCGACTGGCCATCCTCATGGGCACCACAGAAGTGGAGAAAGTAGGGGTGGAACCCCAGAAGAAAGAATCCCGGGCCAGTTCAGGAGATGCTGAAGTGAGTATGAGACAGGCCTTGGCCCCTCAGGCTTCAGAAAGGAGCCCTGCAGTAGGGCAGCTTGTCTCCTATACCTTGACATGAGGCTTTCCTGGTGGGTAGATTGTAAGGGGGGGTCAGGAGGTTTGGTCTCTTCCTAACAGGGTAAACCAGGGATGGGGGGGGGGGTGCCAATCACTACCTCTGGCATTACATTTCTTTCTTTCTTTCTTTTCAAGATGGGATCTAACTATGCTGCCCAGGCTGGCCTTGAACTCGCAATCCTCCCATCTCAGCCTCCCGAGTAGCTGGGATTACTGGTGTGCATCACCATGCCTGGCCACCACATTTATAGACAGAATCTGGGAGCAGATCTTTCCAATTCCCTCCCCTAGGCCTTCTCCATCTCTTAATGGGACAGAGCAGTGGGAGGGAGAGGACTTTATGAAAGCCTCCCCTTCTCTTACCCAGCTGGACCTCAGTGGCACTCCTGAGTCTCCATATTCCTATCTTAAGGAAGAAGAACTGGAGATCAGACAGCCCTTCTGTCCAGACTCTCACCAGGGGACCTCAGGGAGCCTTTGGGGAGGAGGGGATAGGCTTCTAGGAAGAACTGGGCCCTTGAGAAAGCCTCTGAGCTCCTCAAAGGAATTTCTCTGTCACTATGTGTGGTTTGGAGGCTATGATTCCCCTATGTCTGACTGGGGGCTTGCTGAAGACAGAGATTACCCTGGAAGGTCCCCAGCCTTGGGAAGAGTTGTCATATTGAGGAATCTTTCCTCTGGCTGGCAAAGGGACAGGATATAAGAAGGGAGCTCTAGGCCAGACCAACCTGACTCAGACCATGATCTCCCTAGGAGTTTGCCTAACCTTCCACTCCTCAGCCCATCACAGGACCCATCCTGACAGGAGAAGCCCTCATTCCTGCCCTCAGTTCATGACCTGGGCCAAAAGAAGCCTCATTCTCAGTATCCAGGATCCCTAAAAAAGCTGTTGAATAAGTCCTAGGGACTGTGGAAACAGGAATCACTCAGAACCAAAAACTCAAGGTTCAGTACCTCTGAAAGACTATTGGAGGCTGAACTGGTTTGCCAAAGTTTAAAGGTTGTTAAAAATTTACTAAGCCCATAACTTGGGGTACAATCTGGCTTTCAGATTCTCCAGCTATAAAATGGGCACAAGTCCTCCCCATGGTCTGCTATGAAAATAAGAGGTTAGAAAATGCTTTTGGAAGTTAAAATGCTAGAAAAACAATCCCAATAAATGATGATTATTATTGCTTTACTGTAATTACTGGGTTTGAACACAATTGCTGTTGGTAATCAGAGGGAGGAGGGAAGAAGGGAGAGGGAGATGATTAAGAGGGAGGAAAGAGCAGATTTTGCTTCTCTTTCATTGGCTCTACTTATCAGGGCCCTGCCTCCTCTCTTGGGCCTGCTGACCTGGAAACTTTGTGGGTGTAGGGGACTAGGGGAGGAACTCTGAATGAAGACACAAGCCAATAAATGTCAGTTCTTCTCATCTCTATGGCGCCCATCACCATGGTACCCCGAGATGTAGCAACCAAATCCATAAAAAATGTCTTTTTCCATGATGTTTCTCGAGGGGCTGGGGATGGGCTAAATTCTTCTGAACCTGTCTATGACCTGTGCAATAACAGAGTCCCTGAGGCCTGTAGCCCCAGAAGCCTTGCTCAGTGTTCTGTACGATTTTCAGTGCACAGTACTGTTTTCATCACTCCCAGCTGGTTCCACTCATCTATCCTCATGGTCTCTCACAGCCCAGGGCTTCCTGTGCCCTTTTATGAGCAGGGACAGCCGTGTATCTATGTGTGTATGCATATGTGTGTGTGTGTGTGTGTGTGTGTACAGAGGATGTTATTGACCTGCTAAAGGTCACCTGGCTCAGTTGCATAGACCCCTAAGGTCTCCCTAGCTCCCAGCTTAGAATTTTCCAAAATAGAGCTCTGGGGGGCTTATACAAACTGCAGCACAGGAAAGAAGGAGGGGAACAAGAGGGTTGAAGGGAGACAGGGAGGGTGTTCTTGCAGTAGGCTCTTAAGCTCCTTGACAAATTACTTCTGTGTCCTGAGAGCCAAGAACACACTGGGTGCTCAATAAAAGTTTGATGAATGAATGACTGAGGCTGGGCAGCTGGGGAAGGAGAGGAGGCAGTAATTGATCAAGAGGAGGAAAATTCAGAGGAGTTACAGCTCCAAATGAGCCAAAATGACAGCATCAGAGAAGCCTCTACTTCTAGGCAGGAGTTGGGAAAAGGCACATAGCCAAGGGTTTGAGACCCACCATGGTCTCAATGGTGGAGACCCACCATTCCAGTCTTCCCTCCCTGTCCCAGAACTTACAGGCCCAAAAGGTAAGAATGGTTGCCTGAAGGGAAAATTGGGGGCTGCTTTCACTGATAGTTCCTGAGCACTGTTTTCTGTCAGGATAGTCTAGAGCAGAAGATAAGTAAGCTTCCTGAGAAGTGAGGAATTAGGTTAGAAACTGAAGAGCATTGAAGGTTAGATGCAGAAGTAACCAAAGGTTAGCTTCTCCTTCTCAGGAGTTCTTTAATAGGGCAGCAGGCCATCTGTTTGGATGAGGGAAGGGCTGGCCTCTAAGATTCCAGCTGGGGAAGCAGGCTTCACCACCACAGCCGCAGGCCTGGGTCGGAGGTGGGGTCCTGGGGAGAACTGAGACCCAACCTGGAGGCCCTTGGTGTGCTTTGCCTTCCTTCTGCTTGTGGGGGAAGCTTTTAATTAATGGTGTGTAATCTGATCTGGCCCTTCTCCCTGCTGAGCGCTGCCTTCAATCAGTGGAGCCATCTGCAATTGCAATTCATAATTCTCCCGAAAGGGAGGGGGACTCGGGATGGGTGCCTTGGTGATTAATACAATTAGCCTTTTATGTTGATGATTGCCTTAGCAGGAGCAGATGATGTTAACTCACAGCTTAGGTGGTCGCTTCCGTTGGCTGGCAGGAAGCCCCTGGCTGCTGCAGCCCCCACTGTTGGTCTTTAACCTGCTACCTCCAGGTATAAAGGTGACAGGCCTAATGTGGGACCAAACTGCAAGGGGGAAAAGCCCAGGAAAGGGCCAGGATCTGAGATCCATTTAGTCCCCTAGGCCTGAGGAAAAAGAAGGATCAACACAATGATCCACAGATTTTCAGTTTCCAAATAAAATCACTTTGACCTAAAGGATTCTGTTTACCAAGGTTAAAAGAAAAGGCATCATAGTGTAGAGAGGAGGCTGGAGGAGTTTTAATGCAGGCTCAGGCACTTGCTAGCTGTGACTTGAGTAATTTACATAAGAATTCTGAGCCTCACTTTCCTCATCTGGAAAATGGGTGTACTTAAAAGGCTGTTGGGCCAGGTGCAGTGATAGATGCATGTCTGTAATCCCAGTGGCTTTGGAGGCTGAGGCAGGAGGATAGAGAGTTCAAAGACGGCCTCAGCAACAGTGATATGCTTAGCAACTCAGTGAGACCCTGTCTCTAAATAAAATACAAAATAGGGCTGGGGATGTAGCTCAGTGGTTAAGCACCCCTGAGTTCAATCCCAGGTACCAAAAAAAAAAAAAAAAAAAAGAGCCTGTTGGAAGAGCTATATGAGATGTTTAGCACCATGTCTAACATAGGCAGATCTCAGTCAGGGCTAGCTAATTTTACCATCATCCTCATAGTAGATTCCATTTCAGTTACCATGAGTAAGGCTGTTTCTCTCATGAGGCTCAGGTGAGGTGGAATCCCAGGGGAAAGAGGAGTCAAGAGTCAAACACAATAAAGGTCTTCTCAGAACAGAGAAGTGGAGCACTGGAGTGATCATACTGTGAAAGTTGGTTTGGAGTGGTTTCAAGAAATGAGGGTGAGGGAAGCTAGGTAGGGTAGTAAATAGATGAAAAAAAGCAAGGCTTTGAAGATTTGGAATTTCATTTGAAAAGCTAAGTAAACAAAAAGGAAGCCAGCCACATCATAGCTGAGGCTTGAGGTGTAGCACAGACCAAAATCATCATGATCTATAATGAGGTCAAGTGATGTGGAACAAGTTGATTGGGATTTTGATGGGAGGCTCCACTGGGTCAGGAGAGGGGGATCTCCCCAGTCTCTCTGATCCCACAATACTGTTCCCTGTGACCTGGAGCAGCACTAGGAAGTACAGGCAACAGGCCCAAAGAGAAAAGAGCTTAATATTAACAGAGATTTCTAACCTGCAGCTTATTGTCAGCCCCCGGCAATGTCAGAGGAAGATAGAGAGGAAGAGGTTAAGAGCTAATCAAGATGAAGCATCTGGCCAAGCTGTGGCCACTCTGGGCAGCTGTGGCAGGGGGTCAGCACAGCCAAGACATGTAATCATTTCTCAGGGAGAGAGACACTAAGGCACAGTCACATATTTAGCAAAAACTGGGGAGGCAAGGCATGGATAGTGAAGGGGGTTTACAGGAGTCCTGTGGCACTAATTAATAGGATACAGTTAATGGGTAGAACAAGGGAAAATTAAAAACAATGTTTTAGAGCTCCGATTTAGGTGGACAAAGGGGCAGTGATTGCCAAAGCTGGAGGGGAAGGAGGCCAGAGGCAGGGGGCAGGGACCAGTAAACTCACACCTACCCCCATGGACAGATGAAACAAGGCCCAACCAGCCAGGGCCCAGTCTTCAGTGAGAAAAAAGGCCAGGATAGCAGTCAGCAGTGTCTGATTATGGAGCAACAGGAGGGATGTGCACCCTCTGGCTGGGGATTTCATACTGAATTCCAGCTTTATGTCACGACCTTTGAGGCTCTCGTCCTGCAGCTCCCTCCTTCCTCTGAGCTCCGATACACTTCCTGCCAACATCTACCCTGGCACTGAACACCTTTCTTCATAATTATTTGAAGACCTTCCATTACCTGAACAGGAAGACCTTCTTAAACATATTTTTAATCTAATTCCAATTTTAAGACAACAGGTTTCCTCAATTTAATATCTATCTTGTAAAATAGGCTTCCTTTTTTTGTAGGTCTCCAAATGGTGGCCTTACATGTTCAAGGGAGGAAAGGCCTTCCTGATATTCTGGATTTGGTAAACAATGAACACCTGCCCCCTGCCAAACATAATACTTAACAATTCTAGCCTCTTCTGCTAAAGTACTCTGACCTCCACCAGGATGTACTCCAACAGTGACCCACAATGGCATTTTCCCTCCCCTGTAATGGCTATGAGAGTCATGACTGGTACAGATTGATCCTTTTCTACACATTACTTATCTTTGAACTGAGCCTTAGTTTCTCTGCTTTTCCTATAACAGCTTCCCTCGGGCCTAAGGAAACACCTTGTTTTTTTATTTGTTTTGTGTTACTGGGGACTGAATCCAGGGCCTTGCACCATGCTAAGCATGAGCTCTACCACTAGAACTCCCTGTTTTAATGTCTCTTTGAGCACAGCAAATTAGCAGGTTACCTGTCGTGCACATTTGGTCCAACCAACAGCCAATCTCACATGAACAGCTAACACTTTCAACCCAAATAACAATGATTATAAGAGGACATACCACTATCTTTTGAATGACTAAGAAAGAACACTGTACTATGTTTATAAGAAACCACGGATTTTAAGATATCCCAAGTCTCCGAGATATTATCAATACATTTTTAAAGCACATCTTGTAATCAATGAGTGATCATTTCTCCTTCAAATCTTGGCTCTTGGATTTAGTAAAAAGAGGAATGGAAGACCAAAGTGGAGACTATATTGGAGGGCCTCTTACTCTGCACATCTGTTGCTATACCAGCTTTTAGGTACCCAGACTATGCCTCAGAGTAAATAACTCCTATCCCTCAGTGCCAGGGAGTCTACTGAAGGGAACTCCACTTTTTTCACAGAGGCAACACAAAACACAAACCACACTAATCTGGGACCACAATTTGAGAGATAATAACCTAGCACTCTAACACCATTATCCAACCACTTCCCACCTCACTAGGTTATCTTCCTCAGAGCTATGTCATGAGAAGATGCAGAGATTAGTCGGGCTAAGACAGCTCCGTTAAGCTGCCGACTGCAGGCGGTTCCCGTTAAAGCAAAGCAGCTGGAAAGGGCTTAGCCCTTTAATGCCAGCAGCTGTATTTCCACAGTGTGACTGCTCTGCCCAGGGGCTGGACGCTGTCCAGAAGCATCAGGCGTTTAGCCCCAGTCAATGTACATTAACCCAGGAGGAGAGAGCAGCCAGCTAGCTCCCTGGGAGGAGGGGCACCTCGGCCCCTAAGCTTTGCTTTCCAATAAGGAAGAAAAATCCTAGCCCTGTTGTTGTCTCTC